TGTGACGGTGATTAGTACTGGTTTTTCTGACTGACTATTTTGATCGCGGAATAGCTTTTTATGAAGGTGGATTGATTGTAGAATCGCCTTTGAATTTTGTTGTTGGAAAAAACCAAAGCAATGTTTTCAAAAGAAATGGTGTGTGGCTTCTTCCTCTCTTAATGTTGGTAAGTATGATCCTTATTGATCTTTCGTTGTTTCTTAAGCCCTTTCAGTAGTTTGAAGCATTGCTCGATTCGTTTCTTAGATCTCTACTCTTCAAACTCTTACTTGCTGATGCTGATTAGATAATTAGTTTGGCTTAGTTTAGGCATTTGGCTCTATTACCTTGTTCTTGTAATGCGGTTAAAAGTTTATCAAGGGATGGGTTTGCTTGCAAGGCTTATATGTCGCGATTTAGAGAGTTTTATATGCTTCATTTTGAATAGTTAGTGCTACTACATACATATGAGCATACAAAATCAGATTCTAGCTTTGCCGCTGTATAGAGTTGATAATGAGGTTTTATGTGGTTAAAAGACTTGTGGTGTGGAGATGCTTTCACGTTACATGTGTTTGTTTGCTTACTCTTCGTGTGAGTGTTGTGTAGTAGCTGAGTATTTTCAACAAACTTGATTTCTCCGGTTTTTGATGAGTATTTTGGTCCCAAGGCTCTTTTGTTTTGTTTTGTTTTGTCAAATATGGTAGTTTTATAAAGTTGGTATTTTTCCATTTTTGGATATTTTGCATAGTCTTTGGTTTGGTCTTACTAATTCCTTTTATGTGACACTTGCACTACAAGCAAAAAAATATAAGTACGGAAGGTTTGGTCCCATCACGCGACTAAACACCGTAGCAGTTTTGTACTTTAACGAACAAGTATAAAATATGTATCGTAGCAATTTTCTAATAACGGTATTATAAAATAATTTGTTTTGGTTAAGGTTTAGTTTCTCATTTGTGTTCGGATTCAACTCCGAAATTGGCCAAAACAATCATAAGCTTTAAGTTCACGGAGCCAATCCTGACCGACACAATTCTCCACCAAGGACGTTTTTTCTTGCATGTATAGTAGATAATTACATTTTACAGTTGATTCTCTGTTTTCTTAATAGTTAACCGCTTTTTTCAACAACTTTTTCTGAATGACTTTAATGTTAATTAGCCGTTAATCTCTCCAAAACATAAGACTTAACCCCA